AAAGCTTTAATTAAGCACAATCTGCAAGATGTAGATCTAGAAGAATGCAGATCAGAAATGATAATGGAATGCAGATCTTCCTTGATGGGGCTGTGTGCCGATAAACTTGTTGTTAGGCTGAAAATGTTTTAAGTCAAAAATGCATTTAATACCTCTAACCTAGGGAACAGCATATATTTGCCTAGCTTACCTTAAACATGCTCAGAACACTTATGCTGGCCTACAGGTGGGCAAAATCATCTAACACAAAGACTATATTATAATGACTGTTGACTATCTCATGAAATATACTGAATATTGTGCTGAAAGTGAAAAACCGAACGGCTGTACTGGTTGTGTACCCTCGTGACCGCACGGCTGACTGGGAGCCCTGGCTCACGGCTGCTGCCCAGCCTCGTAAGAGTATGGTATGGCATTCCGCTAGCCTGGGAAAATATCAAAATTCAAAGTATGGCTTCTACTGAATTCGTACTGCTTTTAAACCATCCTAAAGGTAAGAAATTACTAGTTGGGGGCTGCCTGTAGATTGCAGCCGCAACAAAGTTGAAAATTGAATCTGATGGGGATTCAAATAAAGAAGCTAGAAAGATGGAGGGCAAGAAAGAAGGCTCGAAGGAAGAACTATTTTTAATCACAACTCACCGATGAGAGGTTTGCATTCCGACTAGATCGTCGGGGTATCGTTTTTCACTGTAGTTGCACACCCACTTTTTCAATTTTCAACAAAGGTAAGGAATATTTTAAGTGAAATTGAGAACTATCATTTGTACATTCAGTAAGTATTTACCGAGCACCTACTATGTGCTACACACTCTGCTGAGTACTAGGTATACTGCAGTAAAAACAAGCACAGCTCCTGAACTTACTTAATAAAGGAGAACAGATAATTATCAAGTAACTCAGTTATAATTACAAACAAGAAGGGCCATGAAGGAAAACATGATCAGGAGGTCAGGGAAGTCCTTCCTGAGGTACTGGCTACGTTTCACCCTCCAGGTCTAGTACACTCAAGGCGGAGTGGGGAGAACAGGCAGAGTGATCAGCTTTTTTGAAACGACCCTCAGCAGGAAAGCAATAAAAGATGAGTGTGGACAGAAAATAGTGAGCAGAGAGAGGAGCTAAAAACGCAAATAGGTAAATGAGAACAAGACGACAAGGTCATGTTAAAGGGACTGCAGTTTATTAAGAACCAACCTAAAAGTTTTAAGAAAATTGCTATAGGTTATAAATAAAGACCACTCCAACTCTATATAGAGAATGAACTGAGTAAGATCAGATGTGGAGAGGGGGAACTAACTAATAAGCTATTAAAATAGTGCTGTAAATAGTACGGTGGGAGGAGACAAGTAGGCTTTACCGCAGCTATTATATAATATCACCACTTACTTCATACGCACTGTACGTAATTTAACTGTTCTAGAGAAGCAGTTCTATGCTATTAAATTGGTACTGAATCTCAAAAGTTATTTTTGTCCTGTCAATTAATACCCAGCAAAGTTTATAACAAAAATGTAAACTTGAAAGTGTAAAACGATGGCGAAAAATATTTTGGGTCATTTCCTGTATTTTAAATCATAATTTTTATATAGTATCCATCTTATCTTGCTTTAGCTTGTAAATATGGGAACAAAACTGAACAATTCATAAAACTATCCTACTTTTATACTTGCAACTGCAAAGGCCTTTCATGGTAGCTAAAAATTTAGAAAATGAAGGAAAAACAGCCGATACTTCCCAACTGAGTGCAGCAAACTATAATGATGACCTACAAAACACCTTTCCCCCCAGGGTTAGGATTATACTGTACTGGCAGTTTATTGATACTAGGGCCCCCAGTATCTTGTAATCCCTCTTCCCTGGATATTCATTAAACAAATATTTACTAAGTGCCATCAGTTACTGTGGTGTAAGGTTCCTTTCTCCACTAAACAGAGACTAAAGTGGTGGTTGCGATTGTTTTCTCCTCGTGGGCAACTGGCTAGAAGGAAGAAAGCCAAAGCTTCTTAGAGCCATCGATACATTCTCTCCCACCCCGCCACAGCTGCACTGGGGGAACTGGGAGATGGCAGGAAATGACGGGCACTAGTAGAAATGGGAAATGTCACAGAATGAAGACTCCACAAGTTCCTAAGTGTTTACTTGCAGACAAAATGGGGTTAACGGAACTGAGTCTTTCAATATACTAGTGATGTCCCCAAAGTCTCATTCCATCTTAAGGGTTGAGAAGCTAATAACAACGTCCAGAACAAAGTACACTTCCCTTGCTGCTATCCTCAGTTTTACCCTCCCCATTTAGCAGCTCTTGGGAGCTTCCCTTGTCAATTTCCTCACTCACACTGATGCAAAGCAATTCAAATGCATCACCAGGGAAGCAAGCCAGTGTCTACTCCCTACTCTCACTGAGAAATGATGCTGGGCCCATTCAACCTTCAGACACCAGTTACACAGTAGCAATACTAAGGACAGCTGGACAATCTCTCTTCCCCAGGGCGTTACTGGATGTATCAATAGGTTTTTTGCAAGGAAACAGCTTAAGAATAGGAAAAGGCCTGGGTACTGCAATTAGTCAAATAAGAACAATGAAAAAAAGATGGGGGGTGGTAAAAAAAAAAGTCTAATAAAATATAATTAACAGAACACAGAATCTCCAGTTTTTGCTCAATTACCTATCATTTATTAATTTCAATTAGTAATTACTAGTTTACACAGTACTTCCCATAAGCCAACACTGCCCATTATGCCAACTGGTAATAAAATCTGTGTCTCACAGGCATAATTTCCAGGCAGATACCAACCTGATGAACCACCCATTACCATGTGATTGTGCTGGCTGCATTCTAAGGAGCAACGGCCTCTCCAATATTTTCTGATTTTTAGGGAAAGTTCATATAAGAACCACAGAAAGCTAGGGAAGTTTGCGGGCTCGTTCGCATGCTCACTCTGAATCCTCTATAGTGTGGTTCTTTCACAAGAAGCCTTCTATGACCCTGCTGAAAGCCAGATGTCCTCCTGAGAAGAGTCTACAGGTGCATACGAAACGTAGCAAACAATTTCAGGAGGTTAAAAAAAAATGACTTGATGCTTATCCAGGGTCAAGATCAAGAATCCCTGTCCTCATAGCAGGGCCTCCTTCTGAACAAAGTTAAGGAAAGAGTTATAATAGAAAGATTTATGAGCAGAATGGAGAAAAACCAACTGGTGGGAAAATTCAAGGTAAAGATATTGACAACAAAGTGTCAACAAAGGTGAGAGATGAGATCCACAGCCATACTCTGAAGCCTCTACTGCAGCACAGATTGCTTATTCATCTGACAAATATTTATTGGGCATTATCTTGAACTAAGTAGGGTGTTAGATGTGACAGTAGATACAGCCACTATCACATGTAGCTAACATAGTTCCTGCTCTTATGAAGCTTATAAAGACCCGTGGGAAGATAATCATCCTGAGAAATAATTATAAACTGAGATGTGGAATGTAGGAAAATATATTTTATGAGAGTCTAGAACAAAAGAATCTGGCTTAAGTTGAAGGTTGACTAAAGTAAGACTGAAGTGGAAGCTAATCAGTAAATACGTTATCTATGCAGAAACAGGGTGGGGGATAAAGCAAATACAAATATTCCAGTCCCAGGGAAACATAAGCAAAGATCCTGTGGTGGACTCAGTGTGAAGATCAGGAAATTGCACTATGAAATTGGGAAGAAGTTGGTCCTCTGATTTTAATAGCTGTCTTCTTAGCCCATTACTTATCTTCTGACAAAAATAACAGAATACTGTGCCCTACCCACCTTATAATATACGTAAAGCACTTAGTAAAATGCTTTGGCACACAGTAAGTGCTCACTAATGTTAGTGATGATGAGAATTAGAGTAGTTCAAAAAACCTGAGTTCTAGTATAATCACCTAGATATACTCAACCCCACAATAAGTGCCAGCAATTCCTACAGCTGCCAATTACAAATTTTAAGGCAAAATATAAACCATGCAAATATTGTAATTATTGCTTGCTCTTGATTTTTACTTACATAAATGTGCTACAAAGAGCCATATTTGGTTTTACCACAAATACACGTTATCTCAAGTTGTGGGAAAAACAAAGTTCTCTTTGTTCCACTCGAGTATTGTAATACATATACTTTCAAAATATCTTCTGAACAGAATGCTACTCAAAATCGACTCTTCACTGAGTTCAATTCAATTTAACATCTATTACCTAAATAAAAAGTCAAACTGAGTTATGAAAAACTGTTCTTTACAAAATGTCTTTGAAAATAGTTTCAAATTTCGTCTTACTTAACAAGCTGAAGTGTAATTCAAAAACAAAATCTTTCTTTTCATTTTGTCTCTAGGCAAAGCAATGTATGAATCCTCAGTAATGGAGAATCTATCCTTTATATAGAAATCTCTTAATGTTGAAGGAACTATATAGTAAACAAAGGATGTGTGGTCCTTAAGCCAGCAGCCACTGCAGCCACCCCCAATTGTGCACGCTGAGGGGATTCAGGATGGAGAAAAGCAGCGTACTGGACCTACACAGTTAAGGTGCATATCAAAGGGATGATTTCAATGAGGTCTTGCATCTTCCCACGCATGTAAAACCACTAAATTTCTTAACTTGAGATGTCTGCTTTTCTTTAATTGACAGTAATCGTTTGATGTGCTGACTACCTGGTTTTTGTTGCAAAAACTCCTATATATCCTGGTTCCTGCCTCACCTCTTTGGAGCAGCCCCTCAGAGCGATCTGAGAGGCTGCCTCCTGGGCCTCTTGAGTCCTCCACGAAGTTCTCAGAATAATGCCCAACTTTTAGGGTGTGCATTTTTTTTCAGTCCACAGTACCCTCTTCAGATATATGCTCTCTCAGATACAGTACCCTTGAGTATTGAGCACATTTTCCCTAAACTTAGGTATCTAAGTCTCCTTGTCTGAGAGTATTCAAAAGGTAAGAACTAAGACAAAACACTCCATAACTCTTGTACTAAAAAAATGCAACGTTACCTGGAAAACTAGTCTTCATTATATCAATTCCAACTTGCAGCTCAGGTTCCGCAGCAAGTACAGCATAGTCTCCTTGATGAGAGATGTTAAAGTTGAAATTGGGGTAAGGATTCAACGAGTCTTTTGCAAGAACTGGTTTTCCTTTTGCAGTTCTTTGCAAACGAATATTATTCCAAGGTATATTCAATTTCTCTGCAACTAATTTCCTTATCATCAGACGACCAGCCTGTTAATAAAACATTTGGTATGTATTGATGTCTATCCTAAAGATTTCGGTAACACTGCCTGTAACACACAAAATCTGTTTTTGTGGGTTTCTAAAATACTCAGTTTTTACAAGTATGTATGTATTAAATACACGACCATATTAAGATTCAAGCAATGCCCTCCCTCCCCTCAACAGGTAACAGATGTGAACAAGCAGTCATCCTTTCAATCTTTCGTCCAAGTATCTAAATTTATGTTCGTTTGCAGCTCCTTTTGCTATCTATCCATCTACATATGAAATCCTACTATATGTACTATTCCACCATGTATAAGCTTTTTAACTTCTAATGTTGGAGATTATTTCACGTCTATACATAACCATCTAGCCTGTACATTTAAATGTAGCATATTTTATAATATCAAGGTACCACAACTTGACTATTTCCCTATTACTGGATATATCAGGCTTCTCGAGTTTCGCTATTATTAAAAAAATTCCCCAATGAGCAATGCTGTTGTACCTCTGTGCCTATGTGTATTTCTAGATAGTATTTATCATTCAGCTTCAACAATTAGCAATGCATGACCTATCTTTTTTCACATATACCCCATCCACTCTCTCCCTCTATTATCATAAAGAATGACTAAAACCATACAAAAATACCCAAGGGTATAAGAATGACAAGAGACACAATACCTTGCAAAATCTTTCAAGTTTTTTTTCCCCAGTTCTAACACTGACTTAAAAGCTGCAAGATTCTGTATTTCACAATTTCTTACAAATTATAAAAAAGTTAAAAAAATTCACCAATATGCCTCCAAAAAACTACCAATTAACCCACATTTCAAACGAAAAAAAGCTTCCATGGAGGGATATTTTCAAGACCGTCTGATGTGATGGTACTCGGAGGCTGTTTCAAACTGCACTTACACAGAAGTCATTTTGAATCGCCAAGTTTCCATCTGCCGCTTAAAAATACACATTTAAAATCAATAACTATATTTAAAATACTGTTCTCCAACATATTTAGTCTGGAAGGTATGTTTTTAGGACTGCATCCTCCTCCCTAGGCTTCAGTTTCACTGGTAAAAGGAGGCTGGACTCTTCCAGCTCGACGGTGAGCAAGGCTAAACTAAGACACACCATCAGTATTTCTTAGGGCCTACCACGTACAGGGCTCCCTTGGAGAATGGTGGGATATTTAACAAGCCCACTAAGCATGCGCTATAGGCCCACGCAAGGAAACAAAAAAAAACAATTGGTAACACGTAAAAATATAAAAACATTCACTATGGGGTAAAAAACCTACTTCTCAGCACCTATTCTATGGCTAAGCAGGGCCCCTAGTTTCAATCACAGTGGGGGAGGGGCCAAGCTTGACGGCGAACGAAGCCGCTGAGGCAACTACAAAGAGCGCGGAGGCCGCGAGCCGGCGGCGGCAGCACCTACCACCCTCGCCCCGCGGCGGCCGCGAGCCGGGGTCCAGGCCGGCGTGGGAAGGGGGCGTCCCCACAGCCCGACCCACCTCCCGCCACACCTGCCCTCCCCCGCCCCGGCTCTAGATACGAAAAGACCTGCAGTACCAAGGCTGCCTTGGCGTCGCGAGCGAAGACGAACTGGCCGATGCGCTCCTTCTCCTCGGGCTGGATCGATCGAACGGCCAGCAGCCACTCGGCTCGGCTCGGCAGCCAGGTGCCACAGGAAAAGGCCC